TGTGGGTTCTGTTCTGGCTGCAAATTGAATACTAGCCCGAGCCCGCTTCCTCGATACCGTACGACGACGGAAAACGTAGGGAATCACTGGACTGCATACCTCTCGCTATTCGAGAGAGAAATGCTGCAGATTAGTTGTCCTGCCTTGCTTGTCTGGTAACTCGCTGCTATCGACGACAGGAAAGAACCCCACTGGGTTGGAGCCGGGGGTTTAAGCCTAAGCTGGCGGCTAGCAGGGAGCAGAGAACAGCTCATCTGGAAGTATCACTGGTAGCACTCAGCCGTACACAGATTATTACGTCGCCGCTGGGCCTCTTGTTGTCGGATAACCGCCATTTATCTCCGATACCAACCTTTTCTTTGTATGGTTAGATACCAACCAACAGTGCGAAAGCGGAAGGCAAATGCCTAGCAGGGTTAAACGATGTCTGACAGCCCAACTAGGAGCAGACATCTTTACCGGTCGTACGTGTGTATGTTTTTTCTCTCTATTCTCCGTGGCTTCGCAAGAAAGCTAAATATTAAGAGACGTTCGAGGAAAATATGGGTTTGCCAACGTTACCTAACGTTTCTCCACTACCAGTGCTTCTAGTCACTTCACTTTTAGTACTTTGTTTAGCCTTAGCAGCACCAGCAGGCTGGTTAATAGTAATCGTTGTACTACGACCTACGGCTAAAGGACGACTTAATTTGTTTAGCGATTAGGCAGAATCTGGTAACGCTATTTGGGAATCGTGATTTTGTGTTAGATCTTTCCCGGAAAACTCATTTCTTGCCAGCCCTACTTGCAAAACAAACAGAAAAATTCCGACCTATAACCTGTGTAGATGCATTGCTGGTGAGTGCCGCGTAACTGGGTTGAGCTGACTTGATGGCCGCAGGAACCCAATAGAAAGGGAGTAAAGAATAGGTAGTGAAGGGCAAATTAACTCTAATAGAGGGGAACCGTTACCGGATGCCGTCAGTTTGTCGACGAAATTGTCCATTTACCGGTTTAAGCCTCTGTCACACAGTCGCTCCGTGCCGATATTATTGCTTAGTAACCTCGACGGTGATGCACTGGGATCTGTCCGGCGTTTCCAACACGAGCGGCTTCAATGGCATACACATTACCATATGGAGATTGGAGCTTGCTTCTCTTAAACAGATATGTCGTCCCGAAATTAAGTATTCCCCTACGCCCTCCGCTCTCCCTCTCCCAGTCAGTGAACACATTGTCTTTTCTACTAGGCTAGGGTTAGGGTAAGAGAAGGCTGCGACCGAAGCTGGGACGTTGAATCGTTGCAGAAACTCTATTAGCTAGTCTGTACGGCCGTGTTATTAAGGGGCGGGGCGGGACCTCACGCAGTTGCTATGAAGCAGGAACTGGTCAACACTATCTCAACCGGTTAAAATTTCTCGTAGCAATTTGTCTATTTTTTCTTTTTATAGGCAGATGTTTTACAGTTGCTGTCATAGGTCTTGCCAAGTCAAAGTAGGTAGGTAGATCGAAAGGTTAGTACAACCAGGGCAAGCAGCGACCAACATATACTAGCTGATCCTGTTCGTTACAGCCATCCTTAAGGATGCATAAAACACCAAAGAGCTCATCTATAACCCTCATATAAGCTTGGCATAGCCAGATTTAATAATACAAGTCCATTTTCGTGCAGGCTTTATTTCCATGTTCCCTCTCTATTTCTGCTACACGTAGAACTAGAACTACTAGTACTACTGGTAGCAACAACCGTGGAAGGCTACCGGAGTAGCAATTTGGCCAGCTGATTCTGTTCGCTAGGCAGTTACGCGCTTTTATACCTCTATTATTGCTTTACGGTCGAATAGAAAGACGCCACGAAGAGCCGAAGAAATGGAAAAGATGAAGATCGTACGTGGACGAGTAGGACGTAAGCAAGCAGCCAGCATCAACACGATCGGGCTGTGGAATGGACCCATGTCAGAGATCTGCTTTTAACAAAGCACCAGGAACTACAAGATAGACCCGGATACTAGATGACGAGTAGGATAAGCAGCTCATTGTGTTGACGATACTGTCTCATGTTCCCTTTTTGCGAAGACTTCTTTTCCTCCAGCGCTCGCAAAGATATCTTCTTTTTTTGTTCTTTCGACTCGAGAACATATCATAAGGGAGTCGCGCCCGCAGTGCGTGCCCAGTCACCCATGGTGCTCTGACGGGGTTTAGATACAAAAATCACTCTGGCAGAGACCATCGTCTCCTATTATTCTTATGTTGGGGCTAACAGCAGTAGACACCGCAGTGGACAGCTAAAAAAGAGATATTTCAAGCGACGAAACTTCGAATGGGCGACGGATCTTTGATAGCACTCCTAACAAGGACATCTGACCCTGCGGGTCGAGTTCGTAACGAAATTCAGTCCGACAAAAGCATTAAATAGGTAGTCATGAAATGGTCATGAAGAGGTAGAAATGGTCAGTTTAGAGGCAGAAGAAATATTAACAAAGACATTTGACGAAAGCATAATGCAATGATTCAAATCAATGATTACCAATATCGACTATTTCTCTATTTAGAAAAACCTAACCAATAGGTATCGACGATGCACTCACACTCTGATCAACTTCAAGCGAATCTCTATGGTCGTGTTTATCACTCGTTTGCTCACATTGTTGCGTAAATAGATCCTCTAGGAATGGATTCCTTCCTCCTCAAACGAAAACGAAGAAACAGGATATATTCATCTCTGGCGTGGCGTGCTTACTTACTTCGAACAATCTAGCTACTGACAGTTTCCTGCTTTGATGGCCATCGGTTTTTGTCACGGGCCGAAAAACATAGGCCTTCGTACTAAGTCGTTCACTAGCCAGCCATTCAGTGCCACCCAGCAACAGACGAAACAGTGCCATGACCTAATAGATGCTCGACCTTGATCCTTTCGCCATCCTCTTTCCTCGTTTTTCCCCTTTGCTCGTCAGCCACTTAGCGAAAATATAGCCTCTAGCGACGAACAGTGAGTATGAGATCCGGCCGCGATGCACTCACGCAACAGATGTACGTAGCCAATCATGGTCTTTTCTCGGGGAAAAAGAACAAACCGTCGTTTAAACAGCAAAGGCGTGGCGGCCTACCGCCGGACAGACAGACGGGCCCATTGCAGCAGGCAAGGTTACCGGTGGATAGTGTCACTACTACCCCATATACAGCCTACGGGTCTATAAAGGAGTCGAAGAACCCCGAGTCAGAGAGAGTTGGGGGGGGGGGGGGGGGGGGAGAACATGCAGAAAGCCGGCAGATGGATAGGGAGGGGAAGGTGGATTCAATACTATCATCTTCTTACTATAATGGCGTGACTCCGTCTCTATGACTGCTTGTGCCAGTTATGCTTTTACAGCTGCTGCTGTTGCAACTACTGTTTCTGCAGTTGTTGCTATCATCGCCGCAAACTTCCGTTCACCCTATTTTCCTTTTCCCATTCTCCCAGTTACTTTGCTTTAGGCCTGTAGCCTAAAGCAGTCTTGCGTCTGATCATCGCCGTTTTCTAGGGAAACGGCCTGGAGTGAAATGACGCGTCAGATAGGTCGGACTCGCGGCGTGGATACTGCACGCTAGTGCGCTCAAAACGGGTGAGAGCCGCTGGCAGCGTGCCAGATAGATTCGGACGGCCGAGACACCACCGCGGTCACGGTCACCATGCTGGGTAGGCAGGGTAGAAAACGAAGGGTGGAAAGAGGGGTTAGCTGAGATAGAGCTTGAGGGCGTGCAAGTAGTGCTAGTCAGATGTCGAACGACTGGACCACCGAGAACTGCGGCAACAGTGGTCGCTGCAGCGGCGGGAGCAATAGCCGCCAGCAAAAGCACCCATTTACGATGCTTTCTTTGAGTGTTAACCGCGACGCTAAAGTCGTTTGAAGGACACTGAACACCCAATTGGGGGGCTTTATTCTTCGGAACGCTAAAAGTTTCTGATAATGACTAAACAACAACTATGCCCAATCGGTGACCCACTTGTAACATAATCGGGGAAGAATTTAAATGCAAACTGGTCCTCACTAGAGGTAAATAGGAATGCCATTGAAATATGGCCATTGAACGTCCACCTGATACATTAGGGAACGTATCGAATCATTATAGGGTCAATCAACTGCGAAAAGATTCCCTTCGAAATCGTCGGGCGATATTTGTGGCCATCTAGCACGTTAGCGACAATGGCTTACTGTATTCTGCCCAGTGCTCTCTACTGATTAGAAGTATAGTATCCGATTGTGGTACCATCATTTAATGTTAACGTCGTTTTAGAGCGGTTCGCCGTCAGTCCGGCTTTCACCGGACTAACCAATTCAGAAGAGAGTTCCACCCGCGGCTTAATTTCGCCTCGCTAATATTTTTATTTTTTCATCGAGTGCGTCAGCCGGCCGGCCGGCCGGCGACTAACTTTATCGTATTCCTTATCTTGTTATCTACCTATCCTTCTCGCGCTCGCACCTTTATCAAGAACGACATGAACAGCTCATGCCCATATTAATTCTAGTCCGTCGTACAGTGGTGCTCTGCGTTCTGGCTCTTCAGTGGCTCGTACTTGTGTTGCGGCTGGTTGTTCAGTTACCGATCCATGTTACCCTGTTAACGCGCGTCGTTACTGCTATTGTTACCGTGTTCATTTTGCTGGCAAGCGGAGGGAACGAGTGGTTGCTTTAAGCAGACGAAACGCACCTGTGCTTGCACGAGGTTCAACTGCGTTTCTCAAGTAGCGACGGCGATTGTCGCTAAAAAGGCATGGTCGTTAACGGCTACAGTAAACAAACTCATCTAGGACACACGAACAAGGACAACACCAACGACCACGGCCCGTTTGCTATACGCTCAAGTCGGTGCGGCGGCCGAACTTAGATCCTCTGGTTGAACGGCGATAGAAGTCGACAAAAACAAGCAGCATCTTCATCGAGGGACTAGAAAGAAATGTTCACACAATTATGTATTAATGCACTAATTAGAAATAAAGCAAATCATTTTTCCTATACAGATTGTAATTAAGCAACACTTACCGACTCGATCTCCTTCCCTAGCCGATATATCTCTTCTTGAAGAAGGTGCAGAGTCCCCGTCCGGCCGCGGTGTCGGGCGAACGCCGCAGCGCATGCGCTGTGGATGCTGTGTATCCAGTTCTCTAGCTCCACTTGACACGGCGCCTGCACGAGGGCGACGATAACATGCAAATCAGTGTCTGTATTGTTTACATGTGAATACCCTGTGAACTAATACGCTCGCAGAGTGCACGTTAGTACCTCAAGAGGGCATGGCTATCGTGCGCTATCAATATTATTAAAACAAAATGAGTGAATATAGTTTTTTGTCGCATAACGTCACTGCGGAGAACTCATTATTATCAAACTCAGTTCTAATGTTCTCGCGAAAATACGAAAGGGTCAGTTCTTTCGGTGGACATGAATTTAGCCTGGTCTATCGCTGTTTAATGGCTTCAAACACAACATATTTCCAATGTGTAATGCAAAGATTAATTTCTATGTTTTATGTGGATAGTTCTAGCTGTGTGTTATGATTGTCACCCAACATGTAATAGAAGTAATGGGTTCGTTGGAAAAAATGCGCAGTACCCACCTGGAATAGATACGCATCTCCGAAAGCGGTCGACAAGCAGAAGATAAAATCTCGTTTTGGGTGCTCAGGGATGGGCTGCATGATAGCTCCATCAACGATGATGAGGTGTTTGGGCGTTTGATCGATCGCTCGACCCTCTCGGTTATCACAGGGGTAAAATAAGAGCGTCGTGCCTTTAAGGCACACCCAATATCCGCGCCATCCTCGCTTGCGGGCGAGTTCGACCTATAACATGGGGCAATTACAAAACTTGTTACAATTCTGGGTCAATGTACTAAGCTTAGGGTCAGACTTGACTTCGTGCAGCTTTAGATGTACTCATTGTAAACTAAGCTGGTCCACTGAGGTAGACTATTGAATCAGATTTAAGAACACATACCTAATATGTGGCAAAAAATGTGTCGTCGGTGTCTAATAGATGCGTTCCTGGATACCGATAGGGGGAAGCAGCTCGTTAGCCAGCTACATAGGAGGCTCACCTGGTGTCTTCTACGCAGTAACCACTTCTTAACACTAAGGAAGCCCGCTTTGCGGACAGCACCTGTGCAGTTAAAGGACGCGGCCTTAGATCGATATGGACTTGCGCGCTGTGACTCGTGCTCATCCTCGTCGCTAATCGCCGTCGTCAACGACAGCCGTTCATCGTCTGACATCTTTAATTGCACAAACATAACAATAATAGATATCAATGAGTACACTTTGGTGGGCTGTCCGTCGTAACGGGAAGGCGTTAATCTATCGTTGTTGGTATTAGAAGAAAGCCTATCCTTTTTAACACTTGCCCTGATGCAAAAGTACACTAATACTTGATCTTCTCGCGCTCTATAAAGTCTGACCCAGATCCAAAAATCATTTTCTCGTCCGAAATTGACGGATTTTCTAACATCTGAGGAAGATTTCTGGAAAATCCTCAATGATTTTTACGTCTGAAGTAATCAAAAATCCATTAAAATGACTCAGGTAACTATCTGTGATATACCATACGGCGTTTTTGCTACGACTCTATTGAAGAAGATTGTCGATCGGGTGATCTTTTTGAGCTCTTTTTTGCACCTTCTTGCATCTTTTCGGATTCTTATCACACTAACATTCAATTCCGCTGGAGTTTTTCTTGTATTTAGCGTATTTGCGTACCCAGTTTATTCCTACCAGTATTGCTTAACACATGAGTACTAGTAAGTGTTATTGGCAAATTAGAGAAGAAGGCTAATAATAGGCGTTGCAGGTCCCAAGTCCAAGCTGCAATCGTGGTAAATGGTGGTTCAACCGGATAAACATGATCGTCAGAAATGACACTTCTAGCAAATGGAAAAAGATTTGTTGAAATCCTTGTTTCTATCTAGATACAGTTTTAGAGATAAAGCATAAACAAGTTTTAGATACCGTACCCTGTATAACTGTAATTGTATTGACTGCTCCGTTTTCCCGGAAACAACAAGTTTTTAATACCAGTTTGAAAAAAGAACGAAAACAGATAAATTGAACAGTAAATCTAGATGTGCCATTTAATTTTCCTTTAGGTGACAGTATTTGTAAGATGGCTGAAGTGAGCCTATTGGTAATAGAATGGGACGGTGTATGTCTGGACGTAACATGTATTGGCATAAAAGAGAAACGGCCAGTGATTTTCTGAGTCCGCGCTTTTTTCCGTAAAACTTTCCCGTTTTAAGCGGCTTATCATGAGAAAATTACAGATTTTCCTGTGCTGGATAGATGTATCTAAAGAGAAAACGGAGACCTATCGACGTTCTCACGTTGCCACGACGAAGACAGTTAACAGATTCAGCTTGGACATACGGGGATTACCACGATATATACTAGACCGCTGAAACCTTAGTTGCTATTTGGATAATGCTAGTGGCGGTAGTAGTGGGTGCGGATGGTCCTCGAAGATGTTATAAATGTAAGGGCTGAGTGGGAACAGAAATAACGTCACCCACTGGTACAGTTGACCTATTCCAAGAAACCTACGGGTCATTTATTATAAGACTTAAATCTCTCGAGAGCTTCAAATAGAAAACGTTGCTAGCAACTCCGTATTCACATCTGGAGCCCGATCGGTTTTGTTCGGGCCTGCGAGCCTGATAGTGATCGGCCTGACGAACACGGGCAAATGGAGTTTCGTATCAAACGAGTACGACGTATGTTGGTTTGGCTTCGGCGACGAAACCCAGACCAGCAGAAGCGCCTAGAACTCGACCTATGAAATTATTCGGACTCGTCCCATTCGGCTTGTTAAAATCCCCCTCTGAGCTAAAGCACCAGCGCTGACGTAGGACTGGGGCCGAGTTAGAGCTGGCGGCGGTCAAAGCGCCGACGGCAGTAAACAAATGGAAGCCATAGACACCGTCCCAGTCGACGGGTGGGCGCAAAACACGACCTGTTTCGGTCCATTGGGAAACAGGGACATGGAGGTCAGATGTCATGCATGAACGAAGCCGATGAGACTGCAGTGAAAAATGTCATGGATGCTTCTTTTAGTCAGGTAAGCAGTCGGTCAATTCCAAAAACTAAGATGGACCGATTACGGTCGGAAGCTACCGCCCGACAAGGCAGGGAATCTGCGGGTTGACTGCAGCCGGCGAGCTCGATCGCAGCTGGGAAGAAGGCGGCACTTGAGGCGGAGTGTTCAGGGTTTGATGTGAACAAAGACATCATCAAAACTGGAGCCCTGAGGAGTTGTTACGATGCTGCTGTAGAAAATTCGATTCAAATCCGATCTGTCCGACTATCCGCAGGCCATTTTTATCCCACTATGCGTAGCTTTCACTTAAGTACCGCGGCTGTAACTAGCGGCGGTGAGCAACTCAGCGAAACCTGAACCTGCCTGTACGTATATAACTGGCTTTATAATAACGATAATATCGTGCGAAACATGGAGCGTACGCGTGAGTCACGTTTTGTTGAGCAGACGAAATGACGCGAGTGAGTGAGAATGGTAGAACGAAAACGCAGTGTCATCGTTATAACTGAGGGCAGATGTGAGACTGAAGGGCATCAGGGTGAGCAGCCCCCATCTCCCTTCTGACCAACATAGCAGTGAGTGCCGATTAAACAATCAGATCGGTCATAATGCTCTTTAGTTCAATACCATTTAGTATATTAACTATGCTAGCTATACCTGCGAGCCATTAGCCGTCTCATAGAATTAGCAACATCCGGCTTGTTTGAGCTTGCGTTGAAAATTAGAACATGACGTTGTCACGGGACTGCCGGCGATAGCGACGCTAATGGCAGCAGCAGCACGGTACAATGCGCGCAACAGCACTGGCAACTTAGCTGCACCTTCGCCGCCGATCTGATGTCAACTCGCCGAAAGCACCAGCAATAGCATATCGAATCCCAGGCGTATAGAGGCCTGTGGCTAACTGTAGAAGTGGATGGGTTTTGGACCCGGTCTCCGCCTCTGCCTTGGCGTGCACCTAATTTTTACTTCGGGTGGACTCTGTCAGCCAGCCCAATCACCCCGTTTTGGAAGAGTAGTAGAAATGGAAAGAACTTTCGAGAGCCCTACATCGTTCACTCATCAAAAGCTACTGAGGTCTGTTGAAGATCCGTACCAATAACAGGAGACAACCTGCGTACCTCTCTCCAGCCTGGACCTGTGTAACTCCTCTTTTCTTCATGGAATGATTACGTATCGAACAAATACTATTGCTCGAAGCATCAGGTATCTCCACGAGGTTAGTTAAAGACACGGAAACAGACTGGTAAAAGATAATCGTGTGCGAGCTAGCTAGTTGGGGCGACGAGAAGCGGAAAAAAGATCTCGTCGTGTATTTACTTAGAAGCACCAGGCAGGCATTTACTTCGTTTTACATTTCCTTTCTATCCACCACTATCGTTTCTTCTTTATTATTACGAACAGGTTACATAACTAAGTATTATTTGACCTTGCGGAACCTAACTCACTTTCGTTCGTGGCTGTCTAACTCTAATGTTAATCTTAAATACAGTCGCGGCATTCCCATAGACTAAGAGAGTGGGCGCAAAAGAAGGTGCACATAAGCAGGCAAATGCTATCAGAATTCTTTCTTCGTTGCTTTTTATCTCAATTCACGAAAGAGGGGCCGCTTGGCAACAGATCGCCATTGTTATCGTTTATCGCCAAATTCAACGTTACCGCTGCCCTCACAAACCGAAACCACTGCGAAAACTTCTGCTCAAGTTCGTGGCGGTTGGAAACAGGGCCCTGAACGACCGGCATTCATTCGGACGCACGCACGCACGCACGCACGCACGCACGCACGATCTTTAATGTAATTTTCAGTTCGTCCTCCTTTGCACAGTGTTGAAGGGGTAATGATTCCAGTTGTGCAAGCCGGAAAAAAGATTCTTTCTTCTCCGTTGGAACAGTCGCATCGGAAACCTTGAATCAAATTTTGCCTTCTAATATATTGCCAGCTCTGCTGGGCTGCCGGTAACTAGAAGGTCACAGACATTGCCTAATGCATGGAAATGGTGCTGTTACTCGCGCTTTTTCCTTTCATATAAAACAACTCTGACATTAGGACAACTGAAATAGGATGCAGAAATCCGTCAGTGGAGATTTATCCTCGAGCTCTGTTTTAATCTAGGCGTCCAGTCTGACACTCTGGTCATCGGCATCGCCATGTTACATACCCGTCTCGACGTGCTGATTCTACGCTGGGGATGAGAACCGAAAGCCCAATGCTTCCTACATGTATCCCGCTCGTCTGTGACACATATTGAACTAACGGAAAATGTACGAGGTAATGGAAGGAATCTTGCGCGGAAGTAAGGGCTCAAAGATAGATACAAAGACGATAGCAGCCTATGCCAAATGGCTGATCTTTAGCTTTTAAAGAACCAACAAAAGACCAACGCTTGTCCTTTCGGCAAACACCGCCTGCTTGTGGAGGAAATCTAGCCTCGCATATTGAAAATAACGGAATAAACTTTTATTTATTTATTTTTTTTTTGCTATCAACTATATGTAGTAAACTGGTATGTACATTTTAAGATAGTTAAACTTTTCAATAATTGAAATTATTTCACGTGTCAGTATGTAGGCTGTATGTTTTATACTGTAAGCAAACTAATGGTTAACTTAAAGCTACACTACTGGTTTCTACCATAGACTGAGTAAGAAAACTAGCCCGACAGGTGGGTTCTAACAGGGATTGTCCATTTATTTAGCCTGTTGGTCCGATTGGTCTATTTACGACGAAGTGGAAATATAGCTAGCACACACTTTGCTGAAGGAAGAGTAAGAATAGAAGCAGGACAACGTATGATCGCCATCCGCCTGCTCTCTTTATACCAACATCTCCTATAATACCCATCCTCCTGCTGCGACGGGTTACTTCTCTGTTTTGCGTCTTATCTACTTCTGCTGTATCGCTGGTCGCCCGGTCTCGCCCTGGCATTCCGATGAGACACCCACAGTCAGTGCACTGATCAGATTGGAATCATCTGTCCTATTACCAACTTGAACTTTCTGTGCGCCAAACACAACTTGCGTGGATGAAATCGGTAATCCCGTTTCCGGCGTTGGTTTCTCTTCCTACACTGGTCAGCTGCGCCCGTATACTTGTTTAGTATTGCAGGCTAAGGCCGAATGTCTTGTAGATACAGTAATAATGATTTTTCAAAGGGTGATGTGTGCGCACGTATGTACATGTATAGATGG